ACCTCCAATTACAAAGACATCTACCACTACAATGCAAGTGTGTTCTAATTCTAATGCAAACTTTGAATTTACATAAAGCAAAAATGGAAATAATCAATTCCATAGCATTTCCTTTGTAATAAATAATGATTATTAAATGTCACATCTCATTTAGTTACTTGTGTCCAAAGATATCAATGACTAAAACAGTCCTACAATGAATAGCTTACCCTGGTTGAGTCTTGCATTTCAGTCAAATAAGGGTCAAGATCATCTTTAGCTGCCACAATGAGACAAGGGATCTCATAGCCAGTGGCCTCCCCGTTACTAGCAACATCTACAAGCAGTTCAGATGCTCTCCTCCATGAGGGCTCACTAGAACTAACAAGCACCAAACAATTGAAAAACTTGTATAACAGCAAATGTAACACATGCCAATCAAGAAAAGAACACAATACTGGAAACACCTACAATTATCAGTATAGAAATTTGAAAATTATAAAAAAGAAAACTGTGAGTAAAATAGTAAATTCCAAAATTATGCAGTGAGAGCAGAGAATGTTAGAAGTGTTGTTTTTATATTAGTTGATTCTAGGTCCTGATGGGTTTGGGTGTAATGATAGGTGGGCCTGGAAGTGCCTTTTTTATTTTGTACGTCCCCTTAAAGGAAATAAAGAGACTAACTTTTTGAAATGATATATACGCGCATATACAATGCTGTGTGTGTGTGCGCTGAACAATCAATAAGAATTTAAGGAGAGCAAACTCATGAGAAAGGACACCTGTCATGGACAAATATTGCAACGTCACATGCAGCTAAAGCATCTTTTGCAGAGAGAAGCTTTTGCACAGCATCATTGGGAACCTCATGCAAGACTAGAGTTTTCCTACCAACCTGTGATCCATGAAAGAGCATGAAAGAAGAAACTAAGAAAGCTTAACCTACTTGTCTCATTCTTTGTGTCTTTCAAGTAAGTTATATTACTATAATCATTTACACATTTTTTTCCTCGGCCCATTTTCCACCTAATAACATCAAAACTATGTTTGGTTCAAGGAATTTGAGAGGGAAAAGAAAAGAAAATGAGAAGGAAAACATTTTTCTTGTTTGGTTAGAGAGGAAAAGAAAATGAAAAGGAAAAATGTACTAAGAGGAGGGAAAACCAATTTCCTCCCATTTTTGTGAGGAAACTGAGGGAAAACTATTTTCTTTTCTTTCTAAATTCCTTGAACCAAACATAGTGCAAAAGTGTAAAAAGAATAGAAGAGAAATATAAAAACCCCATCCTAAATTTCATTTCAGATATCGGGCCATTTCACCCCTCATTTTTAGAAAAAGATAGAAGTGCAGTTACCCCAGGCAGACGGACTGCATTAACTGTGTATCTGTCATCAGCATTTGATTCATATTCCTCGGAGAAAGGCCTGGAGTTAAATGGATGAACAAGTTTTATTGGGAAAGTAACATCCAAACTACGTTTCCTAGTCCAAGTTATCTATATTTCAAAAATATTTGATCTTAAATGTTTCCGAAAGAGAACACACACACAAACCTTCCAACAAAGGAATTCAAAATTGCAGATTTTCCTGCTTTTTTCGGCCCAAAAACAAAACACTGGTACACATTTCCATCTGAGTGCTGCTTCTTCCGATCTAAGCGCCTTCTTCGAGTGACACNGATAGCAGATGAAGGATCACCTGCATATCCAAGGTATATAATATTTTCCACCGCAGCCATTGGATCAAGAAGTGTCATGAGATTCCACTGCATTGTGTGCAACTAATAGTCAGAATTGTAAAGTATAGAAGTTTCTCAATAAATAATCTATTAGTTGGCTACTATAATATCTCATATCTATCTGATAATAGAAACATCTTTTTCGCATTCTAGTGACCATGCAGATTTGGAATTGATCGATTGATAACTAGCAAATATGATTTGACATTCTTAAACAATAATCCCTCAGTCCGAAAGAAGAGTCCTCGGTTGACTCAGCACTAGACCTGGCAAAAAATGACCCGACCTGTTGTTGACCCGAAACCCGACCTGAAAACACTGGGTTTTGAACAAAGGTTTTGATGACCGAACCCGAACTTGACCGAACCCGAAATGACCCGCTAAAAAGAGGTCAAACCTGACCGAACCCGAATCAGACCTGACCGACCGCTAAAGTAAGAATTTTTCAAAATCATACACTTTCCTATTCGTTTTTAGTGTATAAATTTATATTTTCAGACAAAATTTTAATAATATTGCATAATTATCTTACTTTTTTCCAAAACTTAAGCATTTTTAAATTCCTTATATTGATTTATATATCTAAAAATTACTTCAGAGTTTAGAATAAAATAATTTTATAGATATAATACATTTTTTTGATATTTTGAATTTATTTAATAGAAAATGTAAGTGTTAATGTTATTTTAAAAATTTTAAAAACCAAAGTCATAACCCGTTGGGTAGACCCGAACCCGATGACACTGGGTCATGAACATACAGTTATCAACCCGAACCCGAATTGACACGAACCTGAAATAACCCGAACTTGAAGTGACCGAACCCGAACCCGAACTGACCGACCGATTTGCCAACTCTACTCAACACGAAGATTAAGAAAAGTGGTTTTTCACTTTCCAATATTACCATCATTTGAATGGCAGAGAAGTGGAGAAGCAAGGTAGAGGAGGGGTGGTAATTAAGGGAAATAGTGAAAAAAGTCAATGGCATAAAAGAGATATCAACGTTTCATAGAGAGATGAACTTTTTTGGAACCACCTTGAAAGGAAATGAGGACTCTTTTTCTAGGATAGAGTGGGTAATAAACTACTAATACTATTAATAATAGGTTGACACCAATTATAATGAGAACTGCAACATAATTTCAGGTAGAACAAACCTACATTCTTCACCATTTTGTACTGCTCAATATGGTTACAAACTCTCAATTTTTAATGACTTTTAATAGTGGATCAACCATTAACCTGCCATTCAGGAATATCAATCATCACCCCATAGTATTATAATCATCTATCATACACACCAGTGATTTAAACCCATCAAGTGAGAGTCCTCCCAAAGCATCCTTCTCAGCCGCATCTTTGTATGGAGCTTCATTCCAGGGACTAATACAAAGATCATAAAGTGGAAGTTGGTGTGAGTTTAAGTTTAGAGGGAAGAGGAGGTGCATAATTTTAAAACTTTTAGCGCTGAGCCAATCCTCAATTTTAGACCGTTTCCCTCTGAGTGTGCGTATGTGTGTGGAGTGGGTGGTAGTGTGTGTTCTTATGTCCTAAAGACAGGAGAATTAACATTACTTTTCTGGTGCCACTGAAAACATATTATCAAGATCACTGGATTGAAGAGCTCCATCCTGAGAGAAATTCAATCAAAACAAATAAAGAAATCAAGATTTCAAACATTTTAAAACTCATATTTAAAATACAGATACAACTATTAATTAAAACGGAGATAAAAGCGGTATCGAGTCAGACCTTATCAGGCTGTTGATGAAAAACATTTACCCCGAAGATATTTAGAAATTACTTGAAACTTGAAATATAAGCTTTGAGGCACTGAGTTAATGTTGTTGTTGTATACTGTATTATACAATGCTTATATTTCAAGTTTAAAGCCATTTTCAGCAATGTTAAGGTATCAAAATACATGCAATACAAACTATATAGGCTATGTGAAGACACAATACAAAAGCGGTATCGAGTCAGACCTAATCAGGCTGTTGATGAAAAACATTTACCCCGAAGAAATTTAGAAATTACTTTCTTAGGCCAGGAACATACCAATAGGATAGTAAATTACTCCCTCAGTTCTTCCATCATGGTTTCAATTGGACAATTTGACTTCACGTTGTTTAAGAAAAGTGTTGAAATGTAAAAAAGTTGTGGTTGAAATTTGTTAAGAAACAGAAAAAATGTGGACCACATATTCTTTACTTTATTAGGAAAGTAAAAAAGTGTAAATATATTTGGGACAACAAAAAAAGGAAAGTGTGTTGATTAATTTGGGATGGAGAGAGTACAAGGCATAACTGCATAAGCTAAACCGAAGAATAACATAAGCAAAAAGTCAAGCCCAATGAAGAGAAAACAGAGAACTTGCCTGGTCTGGATGC